GGGTTTGATTAATTTTTTAAATTTTTTTATTTTTTATTTTTTTAGTTTATTATTATTATTTATTTATTTATTAAAGATTTCTGTCTCTTCCCCACCGCCGCCTCCCACATCCATCCCCCTCCCCCAATCAACTCCCCCTCTCTCATCAGCCCGAAAGAGCAGACCAGGTTCCCTGCCCTGTGGGAAGTCCAAGGACCTCCCACCTCCTTCCAGGTCTAGTAAGGTGAACATCCAAACAGCCTTGGCTCCCACAAAGCCAGTATGTGCAGTAGGATCAAAACCCAGTGCCATTGTTCTTGGCTTCTCAGCAGTTCTCATTGTCTGGTATGTTCAGCGAGACCGGTTTTATCCCAGGCTTTTTCAGACACAGGCCAGCTGGCCTTGGTGAGTTCCTGAAAGAACATCCCCATTGTCTCAGTGTGTGGGTCCTTGCTCGTGCTTTTTCTCCTTCTGCTCCTGATTTGGACCTTGGGGATTTCTCTGTATAACAGCCCTGAATGTCCTGAAATCTGCTTTGTAGACCAGGTTGGCTTTGAACTCACAGAGATCCATTTGTCTCTGCCTCCCGAGTGTTGGGTCTAAAGGCCTGTGCTACCAGTGCCCGACTGATGAAATTTCCTTAAAGAATAAGAGATTCATGAATCAGGCACCAACCCATCAAAAAATTTAGAAAGGCACTGAGCAGAGCTACTAGGTCAGACCTGCAGAAAAGTGGTGGAGGAAGGAGACTAATGGAGATCAGGTATGACCGAGTCATTTTCCTTATGAGGTTTATACAGACAGGACTTCATTATTATGCTGGCTTGACCGACTGGTTTCCGTCCTGTGCTAGCTGCACTATAGTCTCCACGTGCTCCTTATCTGCAAAGTTTGTTCCATAAACATCATCTACAAGCATCCGGAGTTCATAGACAACATTTTCCTCATCTTTGTACCTCGCCCACTAAACAGAGAGAAGGCTAAGTAGAGAAGAACCACTGTTGAGGTTCATGATACTGTGCAAACTCAGTCAGCCAAGTCCCCTTGAGCTCCTGCATTGAGGAGCCCTGGGAGTCTGGACAATGAGTTGGTTTTGTCTTTCTTTCTGATTGATTACAAGCTTGGATGCTCAAGCAGTTAACTGAGTATAAATAAACCACGATGGATGGAGCAGTTAAGGAACTGAGAGAAGCATAGGAAACAGGGAAGTGTCTTTACGAGTGGGCAGTTCCCTGTGGGAGACGGTAAGGTGGGCTAATTAGGCAGGTGGCTAATTCGATGTAGTTGAATGTGGTCAGTTTCACCTGGGATGGGAGGGGGATAGTAGTCAGGAAATTTGGGTGGAAACTAAAGCAACATCATGAGGGCAATAAACTAAAACGGTACGAAGGTGAGAGCATTTTAGATGGGTTAGTCATGTGTTTAAAATCTGGATTTTTTTTCTAATGTGTAAAAAATAGTAATACCTGCCTGCTCCTGGTTCACACACAAGATTTGCAACCTGACATACCTGCCAGTTGAGTCATTTGGCTAATGTGTGATTTGTCTTCTTACCTATGATTAAACTAGGCTCATTTTTCTTTCCTTAAATACTCCCCAGTCTAGGAATCTTGACCAATTGGATAATTTGATTTATTTAGCTGCTTTTGTAAGAGTGGTATTGTTGTGTAATGGCTTGAAGGCGTTGTCAGCTGTGAGCTCGCATGCTCCTTTAAGAAACTCCATCTTGTGCTCAATCATGCCACAAAGACATGTGCTCAGCTATGTTCATAGCAGCATTGTTTGTCATAGCCAAAAACTGGAAACAACCTAAATGCCCTTCGACTGAAGAATGGATAAGGAAAATGTGGTATATTTACACAATGGAGTACTACACAGCAGAAAACAATAATAACATCTTGAATTTTACAGGAAAATGGATGGAGCTAGAAAACATCATATTGAGTGACGCAACCCGGATACAAAAAGACAATTATCACATGTATTCACTCATAAGTGGTTTTAAAACATAAAGCAAAGAAAACCAGCCTACAAATCATAATCCTAGAGAACCTAGATAAAAATGAGGACCCTAAGAGAGACATATATCTATCTAATCTACATGGGAAGTAGAAAAAGACAAGATCTCCTGAGTACATTGGGAGCATGGGGACCTTGGAAGAGGGTTGAAGGAGAGGGAAGAGGGAGGGAGGGGAGCAGAGAAAAATGTAGAGCTCAATAATAATAGTAATATTAATAATAAAGCTAAAATACTACTAGATAAATAACACGGGTTTGTGATCTTTAAAGGTGTTTTTCTGTTTTACTTAGTGGAAGGCTTAGGAGAATCTTCCGAGTTTCTGAGTATCAAGAGTTCATTATTTTGTTGCCAAAAGGTGTTCCATAGAGATAATCTCTTGGATTCTGTATATGAATAAAGTTACAACAAACAACTATATAAAAAAGAAGCCCCATCTTGTTGTAGAGACAGGAAAAGAGGTGAGGATGAAGCATGATCAGATGCCCCTGGTAGGGGCTGGCACCTGGCTGATGCCTGAGGAGCTTGCCAAGACTGTGCAGAACACCATAGCCAATGAATGTGCCCCACTGTATTTGTGGATGACTGAAAGGAGCCAAAGAAAGGACTAGTCAGAGTAGGTAGAAGCCAGGAGCCTTGAACAAGAGGGCTGTTGTTGACTTGCCAAAAGAGTTATCTAGATAACCGGGACCTTCTGAGTCACTTCCATCCTAAACCCGATGCCCTTGAAAGACTGGTTGCTTCAGAGTGTCATCTTTCATTCCCTTCTTTCCTCAACTACCTTTGCAGCTGAGAATTTCATGCAGAAGAATTCAGTCCTACCAACTGAGAGCAGGCATGGTGGCACAGGAAATATTGAATGCCCTTTGTTATGGAAACACGTATCATACTACCAAGTTCTAGTGATACATTAGTGTCAACCTATATAGGATACTGGATATAAGAAAACCAGTAGCCCCATGTATAGAAGTGGATTGCCACATATTGACATATAGTTGGTATTGAAATCAAAATCTAGCTTCAAAACCCCTATTTATTCCAAGAACTACTTCTGAAATTTTAATTCTGATTCACAGTATTTTTTTAAAATTTTTTCCTTCAGTCCCCTGAAAGTACATACTCATTAAATTCCAAAAACTTCAGAACTGTACTTTTTAAGCTGATGTTATTCACAAATAATAAAAAAAAGCCATTTCAACAAAAACTTAGAAATAAATCATAGTGCAACCTAAATTAGGTGTCATTTGGGAGGTTTTCTTGGGTCCCATGCTTTCATCTGAAACTCAGATCTGAAGGTAGAATGAGATTTGTGCATGGGTTCTCAGGTCCTGCTACATCACCTGGAATGCATCCCTGCCTGTGCAACAAAGCCACAGGCACTTTGTTCCAGTCCAGTGACTACAGGAGACAGAAGTCATCCAGTTGCCTTGGCAACAGGACTAGCTAGTGAGAGCCAACAGCACTCTGGAAGACTGGAGGAAAAGGGTCCAGATAAGGAACAGCCTGTATTTCTGTTTCTTTCCTATTCTCTTATCATCTACATAACTCATTTCTTAACTTTCCTTTGCCTCTGTTTTGGGTGTAATTAAAATTTTCAACTCGGTCAGCACTGTAAAAACAGGATCCCTTTTGTTTATTGAACAGCTGATAACAAACTTGACTTCCATCCCTTCCTCATCTTCCCAGCCTAGCTGGAGAGGAAGCGGAAGCTAATCTCACCCAGTCTCATCTGATCCTGATGTAAATCTTAGACTTGGCTAAAAGCATCTGCCCTCCTGCTCAGTGTGTTCTTTTTTCCCCCAAGCAGCTGCTACTGCTGTTTGATAGAGCGTGTTAAAGAGGTTGGTGTGCTAACCAGGAGGTTGTAGAGCATGCCTTTCATCCCAGTATGGGAGGCAGAGGCAGGCACATCTCTGAGTTTGAGGCCAGCCTATTCTACAGGGTGAGTCCAGGAAAGTCAAGGCTACACAGAGAAACCCTGTAGTTGGAAAACAAGCAAATAAACAAAACAAAACAAATTTTAAAAGAACTTATTGTGCTCTGCTTTCCTGCACTTGCTCTGTCCTCCCCACCCCCACCTTTGGGTCACACCATCAGCAAGGTAACAACAGAGTTGGTGGGCAGGGGCCATCTATGCACGCGGGTAACAGCAGTCACGGGATTAAGAAGCCTTGCTGTGTTACTCTTCTGCTGGTCCTCACGCGGGCACCACTCTGTGGCTGCTTCCTGGCACTATGGTGTAATTTTACTCTACAGCAAAGAGATAATAGTTAGGCACGAGAAGTAGCCCAGACATTAGACCAGAGTGGCTCTGTTTTCCATGGTTGCTGCAGATTATATTCGGAGTGTCTCCCGAGGGTCCATGTATTAGGTTCAGTTACTGCCTCTGACGCTCTTGACAGGAACCTGTCAGAGTTAGGGTCTAGAGGCAGGAATTGTACTCTTGGACGGGATTAGGACCTCAGCATTCTTCCTTCCTTTTCTCTCCCTTTTCCTCTCTGTCTCCCTTCCACCCATTTCCTCCCCCTCTTCTTCCTCTAGCCTACCTCTCTCTTTTTCTTTCGCTATCTCTCTCCCCATTCCCCATTCTCTCTTTACTTCCTACCATGACAGACTATTCCCCCACAGGTTCAAGCCTCTGAAACTATAAACCCAAACAAGAGGAAATCTCTTTTAAGTGCTAGATCTCAAGCGTGTTTTGTCACAGTGATAGAAACGGAATGAAGATTTCAGTCAATATAGCATGTAGAAGTTTCATTGGCAGAGTTCAGCCTTAGCACTACTGATCATCCCTAAACACTCCTGGGGTGAGCACCCTCCTCTGTAACTCAAGACAGCAGAATATGTTGTTTCTCTTTGAACTGGGCAACCCCATTGTGCAGAGAGATCACACAGACTAGATGCTTCTGTTACCCAAGTGAGGTCAGCTGGAAGATGGGAGCCCACACTGGGCATCTGGGTAATCACCAAAGCAGTCAGAAAACTGTGTAGTTAAAAAACTTACGTGCTTACTCTCACAATCCTCACAGATCTCTGATGTATTCCTCATATCATAGTTTTGTCCCTTAAAAGTTGAGGGGGGGAATTAAAACTTTACAAAGCATGCCAATTAAGGCTGAATTACAAACTATGCTGGGGACTGGACCAGAGCCCAGTGGGGGAGAGAGAAGAGCAGCAGCATCTGGCCCCCGCACTTAGAGCCAGAACTTCACAAAATAGGGGAAACCTTTTCTCTGCTGAGTTTGGATTTGACTCCAAAAGGTTGCTATGGCTACTCCTATCACTATAGCTACAGGATTAACTGTAGCCTCGGACCTGGGATACTGGAGATAATAGGAAATAAAGGGATGTTATCTACTTTTCTTAATTACAAGATTTTCTCACTACTTTTCAGCTACAATGTAGTCTCCTCTCTCTCCTTCCCAACCTCCCTCCCTCTCTCTCTCTTTTCCTTCCTCTCCTTTCCTCCCACTCTTCCTCCTTCCCTTCCTCCCTCTCTCCACCTCAGGTTCTCAAGCTCAATTTAGGGGAAATGAAGGAAAATTGGGACATGCTTCACTAACCCACCTGCCAGTGCATGTTTCCTTCTTCAGATCTTCAAATGTTTCAGGCACCCACGCTGTGTAGTTGCCCTGGTTTCATTCTATCTGTTGCATAGTTTTGTTCAGTGAGACCACATGTGATGTGGGAGTCCCCTCCGTGTGCTGTGGTTACCATTGATGAATAAAGAAACTGCCTTGGCCTGTTGATAGGAAAGAACTTAGGTAGGCGGAGGGACTGGACTGAATGCTGGGAGAAGGAAGGGTACAGTCAGAGAGACGCCATGGATGTGCCTGAGACAATGCTGGGAATTTTACCTGGTAAGCCACAGCCATGTGGCAATACACAGATTAATAGAAACGGGTTAAATTAAGATGTAAGAATTAGCCAATAAGAAACTAGAGCTAATGGGCCATGCAGTGATATAATTAATAGAGTTTCTGTGTGGTTATTTGGGGGCTAAGCTAGCCAGGCAGCCGGGACAAACAAGTGGATCCTCTCCTTGCTACACACATGAGCACACAGGCCTACTGCATCGTATCTAGAAGCACAGATTCTGAAAACTCTTTACCTGACCACATTTTTCCATCTCTTCTGTTTTGTTTTTAACACATGTTGTAAATGGAGACATTGACATCATTTTATAGGATAAGACAACAGCTGGCTCTACAGTATCTCCCCCAGTATCTCTTCTGTAAAATGGAGTAGTGCCTTTCACACAGTAGTTACAAAGTTTGAATTATGTAACGTGCTATTTTAATAGCAAAGGCTCCTTCCAGGTTGGGAAGAAAGGTGCATTGAGACAGATTTCAGCTCATTGGGTCCTTTGATAATGCTGGCCCCCAGAGGAAAGGGAAACTGGAATAGGAGCTCTAACAACAATTTACAGAATAAAGGAATTCCTTACATGGACAGACTTCAGAGGGAAGGCAATCTCTGAGCTTAGAAGGGGAGGGTCTCTTAGTTTAGCAGATCAGTAATGGTATAGATAAAATATAGGGCAGTGATTTAGAAAGTTAATACTGTTGTCCCACCCTTCCTAAGGGCTGCTACATGCTAGGAGTTTAGCACTTTACAGAAGGTACTAGATAGGACTTAGGTGTGACTGGTCCCTTCTACAGGGCAACCTCTGTGATCTAGCACTTGTAAGATGTGGCCTGTTTAGGTATTTAAAATACAAATGCAGCAATCTGTAAAAGAATAGATAAAAAAATTAAGAGCTTGCATATAAAAAACAGCAAAATATGAAATGAACAGAATGTCAAGTTTATACAAACACACAAGTTCATTAAAATACAATGAAACGTATCTGAAAGTTAAACAATAGAAACTTTAAGTTTCTTCCATTATTGCTACTTTTTTCATAAAAAATAAGCTATAATTTCTTTGAAACTTCCTTTAAATATGAGTTTACATTGTTAGATAGATTTCTTATTTCTTCTGAAGAGTTTTGAAAAAATGTAAATATCATTCAGTTCTAAGACATTGAAGACCTCAGAATTCCATGCTAAAAACACTCTTCCCACTCAGAGAAGCCCTTAAATTGGGCACTGAGTACAGAAGTTGGAGGTGTAGTCAATGCTAAACTTCCCATGAGCGAGGCAGATAAGTAAGATCCAAGGGTCTGTAATTGTTAGTATACCAGATATTCAGAGAGAGTTGATTTCAAGAAAACACAGGTTGCTCAGTGATTCACCAAACACAGAGCAGGAGTCAAGGGCTCCAAGCCCGAGAGAGCCATGGTTGTTATAAATATGGTGAGAGAGAGACCCGGGTGACTCCCATGGCAGATGGATCCAAATCGTAGCAGATGAGGGGCAAACACCCCATACAGAGTTTGAGTGTGGAGTTTATTGAGGGGAGGGTTAATGGGAGGGGATGGAGAGACAGAGAAAGAGGGGGGTGGGCTTGATTCTTCAGAAGAAAAGTGGGCAAGAGAGACCGGGAGTGAGTGGGCTTGTCTCTGAAGGAAACCTTTGCACCTGCATAGTGATGTAGCAGCCATAGGAGCCCCTGGGCTGACAAGGGTACTGCCTGGGTTCACGCTGCCAGGTGACAGGGCAGGCCAGCATAGCGCCTGAATCCTAACCATGGTTGCCTGGTACCTTCTTGCCAAAAGGTAAGAAACCATGCTTAAGAACTGACTTCTCACTCGTGGAAAATGGTTAGAGGTGGAGAAGAGGGGGCTCACCAATCATACAATGTTAGATGGAGGGGTTCAGTGACCCATTAGTTGGAGAAGCAAGGCTGTCGTATGTGGACCAGATTCCAGGGTCCCAGTAAGCCTCAGACTGCTGTTGGGCAGGAGAAAGTGCCAGGAGAGCCTTTCCCAGTAAGGGAACCAATGATGTAATTTATCTAAAAACACTGCAATGAGAAGTCATGCCATGCGACAAGGCTCACATAGGAGGTTTATTGGAAGAGGAGAGAGAAGGGGCAGAGGGGATAGAGAGGGGGTGCAGGGAGCAGAGACTAATCCTTGGAATAAGTGTGGAGAGAGATGGGGGGTGGAGAGACAGAAGAGAAAGAGAAAAAGAAAGAGACGTGATGTGGTCAAGGCATACCCTTTATAAGCGAACATAGCAAATGTGCATAGGAGGGGTTCTTAGTGGCTGTAGCTGAGGAAGCATCCTTTCAGGACCCCAAGCGCAGTCCAGTGCAGATGCCTGAATACTAACAGATTGTAGGTGGAAGGTTCTGTGGCTGGGCTGATGTCCCGGTTCTACTGCTGAGAGCCTTATCTGGTTGTAAAAGATGACCAGTTCAGACTCTGTATCCACTGTTTCTAGGAGACTGCTAGATGTGCTCTCAGAGATTCCAGGCACTTTCCACTGCAATAGGTTTCTACATCAACCACCAATTCCAGGCATCTCTCCCAATACTCTCTCCCTCTGTCCCACCCACTCCTGATCCTTCCTGTTTCCATGCCCATCCCCCCAGTCCACCTGAAAAATCTATCCCAGAGGGGAGATGCATGTGTTGCCCCTCACCCCCACACCCCCACACTTCCACACCCCACACCCCACCAGCCCTCCTTGTTACTTAACCTCTCTGGGCCTGTGGTCTGTAGCATTATCCTTTACTTAGCAGCTAATGTCCACTTACAAGTGAGTACATACCATGTTTGTCTTTCTGAGTCTGGGTTACCTCACTCAGGATGATCTTTTCTAGTTCCATTCATTTGCCTGCAAATTTCATAATGTCATTGTTTTTAACAGCTGAATAACACTCCACTGTGTAAATGTACCACATTTTCTTTATTCATTCTTCAGTTGAGGGACATCTAGGTTGTTTCTAATTTCTGGATATTATGAACAAAGCTGCAATGGACATGGTTGAGCAAGTGTCCTTGTGGTAGGATGGCACATCCTTTGGGTTAATGCCCAAGTATATGGGTATAGCTGGGTCTTGAGGTAGATCGATTTCCAGTTTTCTGAGGACTCAACATATTGATTTCCGTAGTGATTGTACAAGTTTGCACTCCTACCAGCAATAGTCCCCCTTGCTCCACGTCCTCACCAGCATGAGCTGTCACTTGTCACACTTGCTTTGTGAATCTCTCATAACCAAAAGGTTAGAGGAACACCCCTACTATGCTTCCCGCTGTTGCTCTCCATGTTACACAAAGGGAAAGTCACACAAGAAATTCTTTATCTTCTGCCGGACTAATCTGTGCTCTCAGATAGCCTTGACTATTAATCTTCGAAGTCATGGGCACAGCACTCATTCTCAGTTTTCTAAAGATACCTAGGAAGTAATGGAGAATTCCCTATGCACCTGAAGTTTCTACATTCTACTCACATTACCACAATCCACAATTTAGATTCTCCACTAACATTATGCTTTAATTTAGTTCAAATTTCTAAAATACCAATATAGTTCAATCTTGTTTCTCCACTGAAATAGTTTTAAATGTCAATGAAATTAAACTGATAGTCTCCAGCTGTACCTACTGAACTATATGTGTGCTGTATGTACAGTCTTTATGACAATGAGGTCCACAGCACCTTCAGGTCCCACCCACCAGTCTCCAGGAACATCAGCAAACTCTTCCTTTTCTGTGTTGTATCCGACCTGAGTCTGCACACCTGATGACCAGTCCCTAAACCATCCAGTCACTATTTGAAAAAGACTTCTGGTCACTCTCCTCTCATGCCAATGTGGCTCAGTTGAGAGAGGCAGGGCAGTCTGAATACTGGAGTTCATCTTTCCTTCTCCTGGGGAAGATAGAGAACAGAGTGTATCCTTGATCTTCTGACTACTGGGGAGCCATGGACATTACAGCTTCGTCTGGGTTGCGCGGGGGGAGGGGAGGTTTTGCTAAGGTAGACAAACCATAAAACAAGCAAAATTATAAACTGAAGAAAGTACTGTGAAATATTGGAGAGGGATCTGCAGAAAGGCTTATCTCACCACCAAGCCTGAGAACCTGAGTTCAATCTCTGGACCTTCATGACGGAAGGTGAGAATCAACTCCCACACATTGTCCTTTTGACCTTCACATGATGTCATGGCACATGTGTGCGCACACATACACACACATGTGCATATGCAAAATAAACAAAAGTAAAAAAAAAACTACAATGGAAAAAGTGAGTGGATGATCTAATTTGCATTGAGTACCTGAAAAAGACCTCTCTAAGGTCTTGTGCTGAGACCAGAAGAATGTCAATAAACTTATAAAAGACTATCTTTTAAGTGCAGTTTCTGAAGTTGGAAAAAGCTTGATGAATTCAGGAATAAAACAAAGCCAATGTGATGAGAATCCCAGAACAAAAACAGGAAGTAGCACGCAGAGTCTTATTTATGCATGTAGTTTATTTCAAGGGCCATGGGAAGTCATGAAACAGTTTGGACAGTTGGATGCTGTCATGGGATGATATTTTTAGATTTCTCTAATCTCTGTGCAGATAAGAGTGGGTATGGGCAAGGATGGAGACCGGAAGCATTTCAGCGGTTGTTAGTCCAGGAAGGAGAAGACAAGAGCATGGAGTAAAAGGTCTGTGGAGATAGAACTGAGAGAATGTGGAAAGGGAGTGTGAATTC